AGCACACGAATGACACAATGACATATATAAATTACATAAAGACACACATATAAACAACAATACTTTAACTAGACAAAATGATACAGTCAAGTATGACTCTTTCAAAAATATTTTGTACATTCCTCTTTTATTATTATTACCATACCAACTTTATTTAACACCCTTTCTTTAGGTGGTACAAAAGGCTTGAAATGCTTAGGTGGGGATAGATGCCGCTGGACGTTCATATAGATATCATTGATTAAAATCATGTCGAGTATTTTTTTTTTTTTTGTCGAAAAGGATATATCATGGTACACATATATGTAGGTAGACTACAATCGGAAAAGCCCGATAATCTCTAATTTATCACAAAAAAAACGGTAAATTAAAGTGAGACGTACTATTGTGTAGATGAACAGGATGTGTAAAAATAATCATGTTATTTATTTGTAACTTCTGACTAGTCTAGGATATCATAATTATTATTCATTCTAATCACTTTAATGCATTTTTACAAACTATTCATAGGTGTATACTGAAAAAAAAATTCAAGGCGTGATGCTTTTGTAACTGCTGAGCATGTTTGTTTATATATTCACTGTGATAATTGTTATGTTTTTAGTGTGTTAAAACAAATAAAACTAATAATAATAGATCTTACTTTAATTTAGTGTTTTTTTGTGATAATAAATTTATAAATAAAAAGTCGAGATTATTGAGCTTTTTCAACTGTAGTCAGAGTTTACATATGCCATATAGACGACTATAGATCAAAATATATTGCGTTAGATTGTAATTAATAATCTAATTCGAGATTTGTCCTTTTCTATCCATATTTCGAATTTTTATCTTCAAGAAATATCAGAGAAAGAAGGAAATGGAATGAAATCTATGCTTATCTATATCTACTCGTGGACGTATTTTTGACGGCTTCCCTTATTCAACTTTCTTCAAAACAAAGGTCATATAGCATACAAGTATGAAAGCTAATATTGTAAAAAAACTTTTCAAGGTGACTTTTAGTGCGAGTCATTAGAAAATTTGGTGCTTCCTCCGTGCTGAACTAAATCAGATAAAAACTGGGTGGCAGATGCCAAATTTGTCAGTGAATCCGAAAGTGTGTTTCTTTTAATTTCATTATCACTTATTTTCTGCCGTCCACATAATCTACGTCGTATTTGTCTAATTATTTTTCTCATTGGTTGAAAAAAGGCGCCAATGAGAAAAGTAAAATTTAGGCAAACACCACGTAGATTGTGTCGACGCCAGAAAAAAGTGATAATGAAATTAAAAGGAACACGTTGTCAGATTCAGAAAATTTTGTATCTAACGTCCAACTTTTATCCCAGTGGTTCGAATCGAACCCGATCCAACCCTAGGGTCGGGTCGGGTTGAACATTTTGCGGCACAATTTAAAATATCGATAATAATCTCAGTTTTGTATTACTCATTGAAAGTTATCTGCACTGGAATTTCTAGTTGAAATACTTGTTCCAGAACAACTGCATCCACTACGTCGATTGATGATTGCTTTCTATGGACATAAAAGAGCGCTTCCTGCACTGAAATCAATAGCAATACATCCCTCACTGCTTTTTATACTGCTTTTTCAATATTCTGTTTTAAATACCCATACCCATGCTATAATGTTCTCTACTTGCTATCCTATTATTAGGTGATATAGGCTGACCAATGAGAAAAAGGATGTAGTCATCATCTCAGTTAAGATAATCTATTGAAAAAGTGCACTAAGGAACTTTTCAATAGATTAACCTTTTAGACAAAATGACGGATTGACCAATCAGAGGTCGTTCAAAAATTTTCCTGTTTTAGATCAACACTTAGCTTCATCACACAAGCCTAAGAAACTAAGAAAAGCGTACGTTTTCTTTTCTCTTTTTCGTCTTAGTCACGCAGTGTACTGAAAAAGCCATGAAGACACAAGTACGATGCAATGGCGATTTTTCCTTAGTAGATCCGCCTAGTCGTACAGTAGAGACCTGCAACCGGGTTCGGGTGCAGATGCTGTCGGGTCGGACTCGGGCCAGCATTGTGATAGTCGGATCGGGTTCGGCTTAGGTTTTCTTAACCCGTGCAGGTCTCTACATCAAACTTTCTAATGTAATGCCGTCATAATTGAATTACATCATCTTTGCTTTCACATAGATTTTTTCTTACCTGAGAGAAATATACTATTCTCTAGTTGACGAAAAGCACAAGAAGATTAGATAAAAACAGTAGTAACCACTTGATGCTTTATAGCATGCATTTTAAGACGAAAACAATAGTAAGATTAACACGAAAACCTTCGATTCTGCATAAGAAAAACTAAAAATAATTTTAAAAAAATGTCATCATTAACCAATAGTACAGTATCTCATTATATTGATGTACGATCCGATACTGTTACAAAGCCCACCGCATCAATGCGTCAAGCTATGTTTGAAGCTGAAGTTGGTGATGATGTCTATGGTGATGATCCAACAGTTTTAAAATTACAATCCATGGCAGCTAAATTATTGGGAAAAGAAGCGGCACTATTTGTTCCATCCGGTACAATGGGAAATTTAATATCAGTTTTAACTCATTGTAATATGTTTGGTAGTGAAATGATACTAGGTGATCAATCACATATATATTTTTATGAACAAGGTGGTTCGGCAACATTAGGCAGAGTTCATTCTAGAGTAGTTCAAACACAACCTGATGGAACTTTATTATTAAGTGATATAGAGAAAGTAATTAGACCATTTCCAGCTAATGATGATCATTTTCCAATAACAAAACTAATTTGTTTAGAAAATACTCATAATCGAATGGGAGGAAAAATTTTATCAGTTGAATATACTAATTCAATTGGAGAACTTTGTAAAAAGCATGGAATAAAGTTACATATGGATGGAGCAAGATTGATGAATGCAGCAGTTGAATTGAATATTGAACCATCTAAATTAGTTGAATCATGTGATTCAGTTTCCTTTTGTTTATCAAAAGCATTAGCCGCACCAGTTGGCTCAATAATTGCTGGTACAGTTGATTTTATTAAACAAGCTAAAAGATTAAGAAAAGTTCTAGGTGGTGGATTAAGACAGTCGGGTATATTAGCTGCAGCCGGTATTTTATCTATAACTGAAATGCCGAAATTATTAAAAAATGATCATGAAAACGCTAAAATATTAGCTGTGGGATTAGCTAAAATTGATGGCATCGATATAACAGCTTCAGAAGTTCAAACAAATATTGTAGTTATTAATTTAAATTCTGATAAATTATCCATTGATGCACCAACTTTAGCTAGTAAATTAAAAGCTAATCATAAAATTTTAATTAGCGCAAGTGAGATCACGAGAATAAGATTTGTTATTCATTATATGATAACGACAGAAAATATTGAATTTATTTTGAGACAAATTCAACACGAACTCGACCAATATAGAAAATAAATTCTACGTCTAGCATACAATGTCGCTTCCGATCATAATCCAGTTTACAGCATTACATTATTCTCCATCAGTACTATGTTCTCAATAAAAAAGTTAATTAATGTTTTCAAATTTGCTGTGCAACATTTAGTAAATGCTGTTAATTTATATCGATGTACTTCCATTTTAATTACACTATAATTTAATAAATACGATTCCAATAACACTTACCAAATAAAAACATGAATAAAAACTTTTCTGTTAAGAGTAAACAAAAGAGATCACGAGTAGTCACACAGCTTTGCATAAAATGCCGATTGCTATTCTTCTAATATTCTGGAGACTTTGCTTTTTCGTTGTTTAGAAAAACAAAGTTTGAACTACAAAGTGTGAGTTAAGAAATGTCCGTCTCACAAAACCACACGAACGAGCGAACCTTCCCAAACAACGGCTCGTGTTTGCCTCTAAATATACACGACTATATGTAATCGACGGTGCTGATTCTGAATGCAATAGTCGTTATCCCACCCATGTTGTCTGGAAAACCGGCTTTCCACAGTGAAAACATTTTTTCATTAAAATTAATTTGATATAAGCTTTATTCTGCCAGAATACGAGCGGAATATATTCCATTAATGGTATTCTAAACTAAAACTATCGAAAAACACAAAATCAATTTTGTACGAATAGAGATTGGAACATATGAACTTAGCTTTGCAGTATACTGAAAACTAAATCCACTGTTCTGTGTCTATTCTATACAACGATTGACGTTGTACAATCGACTCGATGTTATCAGTAGTCATTTTCTGATCTGCCTCATTTCTAGAGCACGTCGAGTTGTTCCAAGCGTCAAAAAAATCTAATATCGTCGAATTTATCTAGATTACCAAATTCCATCCGACTAAGTTCAAAATTTTACCAGAGGTACTCAAGACACACTATTTCAGAGGTAACTTTTTGGAACATTATTTTAGACTTTTCTTCACAGACTTTCAGGGTTTCTAAAATTGAAAAACTCGGTTTTTGAGACGTTTTTCAGTATTTTCCCTATAACTTGACTAGGAAAGGTCTCAAAAACATTTCCACCCCAAAAATTATCTCTGCGGAATGATCTTGAGTACCTCTGGTAAAATTTTGAACTCGATCGGATGAAATTTTAGGGAAGTGGTAATACGGCAGAATCAAAAACCGAGTTTTCTGAAAAACTGACGAACGGTAATAGTTGAAAACTTGAAACAAAAACGAAAAAGTGCTCCACTGAGTTTCCAATCAGTTCTGAAAATACGCCCTGGGAGACTTCTAATTTTTATTGCACAGCATTTCTGCGGAACGCCCAAAAGAGGAGAGGGGTACGCTTAAGTACCACATAACACACAAACTATCAAAATCTCAGAGGCTGGGAAAAATAGTAGGCTATTTTAGTAATTGTAATTCCGAACAATAGTCGAAGTGTTAGTTTTTAATGTGAGATAAAGTGCACTGATGCAATTTGTTTTCGAGTTTGATTTTGTCCTACTGTGTAACAGCCTACGCCACTTTTTTTATTAGAAATCAGCAATTGTAGTGGTATAGCGAAAAATCGACGGTTAGAGTCGGTTCACGTGTGATTAAGCGCTTTAAGATAAACCAAACCAGACCACAAAATATCTAACTTTGACCGATTTATATAAATTTTCCTCAATGCCACCTAAACTACAGTTCGAAAACGGGGATTTTGATAAATCCCGCAAATAATTGCGATTATGAAGAGTTCTAAACATAGAAAATTGATAGAGCTTTTCAACGGCTACGAAACGGTCATCTTCACTTATCGCAAAATACAAAGAACTAGATTTGAAAAACTGTTTTTTTGTGTTTGAAAGCAACGGGAATTGAGGCTTCGCAGTATTTCACCTATATTCTTTTATTTCTACCGAATATAAAAACATATTTTATATGTTGTAGAGAATGAAACCATAAATCTTTTAAAACCAAGCCGAAATTTGAGCGATGAAAACGGAAAGAGATGTTCACAAAATACGAAGGCTAGCATTTATTCTGGTCCGCATATTCTGGTCTACCCATTAATTCCGTCTTAACTTGCTGATTTCTGTGAGACAAGTAGAAACCTACAACCCGACCCGACCCTAGGGTCGGGTCGGGTTGAACATTTTGCGGCACAATTTAAAATATCGATAATAATCTCAGTTTTGTATTACTCATTGAAAGTTATCTGCACTGGAATTTCTAGTTGAAATACTTGTTCCAGAA